ATTGTGTGGTCGCTCTGCATCGAAGTGGCTATCTTCGTATTCACTGTGATTATGGCCATGGTGGACACCTCCGGCTGCCCCGAGGTCTTCTTTTGGCTTACAATGATTTCTGTCTTTTTGCTAAACGGTTTGTATTCTTTCTGTTACAATAACAATAACTATACACAATAAATCAATAAGTGAATATTGACAATACATTAATTAATATGTTTCCAATTTTCATATTGGATTTGTGTTGTTTGTTTTTTAATTATTTCTAGGGTTGCAACGAATATTCTGTTACTATTCGACTTATTCGGTCTGTTTTTTTGCTATATTCCGAATATTGAACAACAGGAGGAAGAAATAATACAAAAACAGTAATCATGCAAATTTTATTAATGCTTGACATACATTTTTAAGTTTGCGAAAGCCCAAGTTATCACTTCTTTATCTAAAATATTGAAGGAAATGTACAGTCATATACATTTTTTTTATTTTTTTTTATTTTATTATACATGACAGGCAAATGACTCCACTCCACCTGATGTTAAGTGGAAAGTGGTATCCAAACGTGAAGGAACCTAGTGCAGCGATGAAACCTTCACTGCACTAGCCACCTCCACCCTGCCTGCCTACAATATGCCTCTTCACGCCTCGTTTGAAGGACCCCATATCATAAGAGGGAGGGAAGACATGTGCCGGAAGGGAGTTCCATTTGTCAACCCTGCGGCAGAGAAAGGAGCCACCAAACCTTTTAGTACGCGATGGAATGCGGCAGGTAGTGAAACGGTGACTACGAAGGCCAGCACGCGTGCTACTGAGCAGGAACGGGGAAGGGGGGATGAGGTTGAACAGCTCTTCAGAGCACTCACCATGGTACATGCGGTAAAAGGCGCTAAGCGATGCAACATCTCTACGCAGTTGCAGAGGTTCAAGGCGTGATGAGACCTCTTCGTCGCCTATAATTCTAGTAGCACGACGCTGTAATTTATCCAAGGCATCGAGTAGGTACTTGGCGGAGCCGTCCCACAAGTGCGAAACAATACTCAACGCAAGACCGGACCTGTGTTTTGTACAGCAGGCATAACTGGTCCGGCGTGAAAAAACGTCGCACCTTGTTCAGGACTCCGAGTTTCCGTGAGGCTGTTTTGATCACAGATTCGATGTAGCTCCTTGGATTCAAATCACAGCAGATTTCCATACCGAGCATGGTAAAACTGCTCTGAGGTGAGAGTGCTGTGCTCATCAGAGAAGGCATGGAAACGAACGGCGACAATTTTGTTATTAACGCGCAAATCTGTGTTTTCTTGGCGTTGAACTCAACAAGATTTCTAGATCCCCATGCAGAGATGAGGTCCAATATCCTATTGAGCTCACCGACAAGATTAGATCGCTCTCTGTCAGTATCGGCGCGCCCAGCTGCGGGGAATCCGTGATATCCCCCATGAACAGTACTATCATCTGCATAACAATGAATATTCCCAAGTGGAAGCATATCATTGATATGCAGAAGGAAAAGCGTGGGAGATAGGACGGATCCCTGCGGTACGCCGGCGTTCACATTCACGAACCTCGAAATGCTGCCGTCAGAAACGACGCGAATTCTCCGCTCACGAAGGAAATCGGCAATCCAGCTGCATAACTGGGCTGGCAAACCGTACGCCGGGAGCTTGGAGAGAAGAGCTTTGTGCCAGACCCGACCGAACGCTTTGGCTATATCGAGGCTAACAGCCAACGACTCGCCACGTTTGTCTATAGCCTCACCCCAAATATGCGATAAGTACGCTAGAAGGTCACCCGTTGATCGTTTCGAACGAAACCCATACTGCCGATCATTAATTATGGAGTGATCTTCTAGGTATTGGGTCAGTTGTTTGTTAAGGATCCGCTCTAAAACCTTGCATATTATGGAAGTAATGGCTATGGGACGGTAATTATGCGGGTCTGATCGGTCGCCTTTTTTGGGAACTGGTTGCACATTAGCCTCTCTCCAAGAGTCCGGCACACGACCTGAAGAGAGTGACAGACGATACAGTCGCGTTAGCACGGGGGTCAACTCAGCTGCGCAGCTCCTAAGTACAATCGCTGGGATACCATCAGGACCACTAGCTTTCCGGACGTCGAGAGACTGCAGCTGCGTACGCACATCGCATTGTCTGATACGAATATCAGACATCGTGTAGCCACAGTGAGGTAGAGTTGGTGGCTGTACGTTACAGTCGTCGAGACAGGAGTTAGCCGCAAACAGATTTGCCAAGAGGTCGGCTTTATCTTGCGGCTTGTGGGCTAGATTGCCGTCAGAATATCTCAGCGGGGGCAGCGAGGGCTGGCAGAAGTTCGACGCAACGGCTCTGGCCAGACGCCAGTAACTACGACTACCAGTGGGATGCGTCAGGAGTTCTTGGCCAACTCGTGCGACGCGCTGAGCATCCGCTCTGATGTACGCTCTTTTGCAAGACCTGGTGGCATTATTGTAGGCTGTTTTAAGTGAGTTCGTATTGGGATCGTCTGAAGTTCGACCCTTGATCCAAGCGCGGTATGCAGTCTGTTTGTTCTCAACAGCCACAGCACACTCGCGGTTGAACCAGCGGTTGCGCCTCCCTTTACTGACGACATCCGAATGCGGGATGTAGTATTCCATCCCGATTAAGATCTCATCAGCAACGGCAGTCGCGCTAGCTGTTGGATCCACCTCACTAAAACAGCGCTGCCGCCAAGGAACGGATGCAAAATAGTCCCGCATACCGTCCCAATCTGCCGACGCATAATGCCAAATGCGGCGTTTAGCCACAGTAGGTGGTGGTGGCAGTAACGTTGCCACTTTAGTGGATATCAAGCAGTGATCCGAAGTGCCCAGAGGGGCTTGGACCTCCACCCGATATCCAGCCGGGCGAGACGTCAGCAGAAGGTCCAACAAAGAGGGCGCGTCACCAACCCTATCTGGTATCCGGGTGGGCTGGTTTACCAGTTGGGTTAAATCGTGTGTGAGAGCGAATGTGTGGGCAGTTCTTCCAGCATGGTCAGTTTTAGAGGAACTTAACCACGACTCGTGGTGGGCATTGAAGTCTCCTAAAAACACCAATTCCGCTGTAGGAAACTGCGCCTGCGCGTCATCTGCCGCCCGAGTAAGGTGGTCTATGAGACGAGTTGTCTCCATGTCGCCGTGGTGGGATCTGTAGAGGCACATGTAGACACGGCAATGACTGCCCAGGTCAACATGTACCCCAAGGATGGAGAAGGAGGGGTCCTCCAAATGACGCAGACGGCGACAGCAAACATCTGCCCGGACAAACAAGCAGACCCCAGCTTTCGCTTTGAAGGACTCTTCAAGCATATAGCCAGGGTAATTCAAGATGTTGGTGGACGGCGTGGATGTTACTGTGGTGTCCTCGAATGTTCGTGAACTCCACCTTAAAGAGCGCTTTAGTGGTGGGGGTGTGCACCGCTGTACGACCGAAATTTGTACTTTGCGCTAACATGTTGGAGGGAAAAAGAGGCGTGAAGCGAGAAAACAGTGCCGCGACACAAGCGGTCAAATCGCGGGGCCTGCTTCCCCAGAGACTTGCCTACAGACAAGTTGCGCTGATCCGCCGGACGGAAGGGCCCCCGAACCCCCCCGGGAATGGCCGCCGGGACCCCACCTCCCGGTCACCAACCGGCACGACGAACCACACCGAGATTATGCGCGGTATGGTGAGGCAGCCTCACGAGCTGGTTAAGCACGCTTGGGCCCCTGTACTGTACCGCGGGCGGCCAGCGGAACAACCGTTTCTACGGGTCTCCCTGGCCGGCGGGTCAATGCAGTTGTCCTGGCACTGGTTCGGCGGAAGCCTCCACAGACCACAAATGTCGCGGCAGCGTTGCCTCGGGCTCTGGTTGTACGCTGACTGATCCCGGAACGCATCCGACTAGCGAACACTTGGCGGGTTTTCCACCATGCGCACGGTGGTCACTAACCAGCCGGGTTTTCAAGCCCTACCACCAGTGGAGCAGCTGGTAGCTCAATATCCCTTAGTCGCCTCTTACGACACCCACGGGAAGAGAGGGGCGGTGAATTGTATTCTAATCCGTCACCGCACGTTACAAAAAAATACATGAGATACCTGACCCCCTAACTTGCCCAAACGGAACTTTTGGTTCTGAGAGCCATCTTAAATGAAAGCAATTTCAATTTTATTGTATAAGCAATACAGTGGAGTGTTGCTTGAAGATAATCAACATATTTTTAAAACCAATACTAAATTTCGTCATTTAACATCCGAGTAAATTGGTCGTGCGGCTTGTTGTATAGACTGCCAGTTACATAGGGCGCACTATAAGTTTCCGGAACTGGCCACTTACATAAACAATATTTAAAAAGTAATTACAACATTTGAAAATGGAACTCTTTGGCTGTAGAACACAGTGTTTTATCTGACTGTCTCTTGTCTTTCCATTGTGGCGTCATTTCAGAAATTGGTTGTCTACATCACCATGGATTTAACTCGTGAAAATTTTCGTAGTATGATTTTCTACGATTTTAAGTGTAATATTTTTAAGTTTATTTTTAATGTGACTCGAACAAGGCTTGCCTTAACTTGCAAAGCAATCCTTATACCGCTTGGCCACGACGGCCTTACTAAAGCTGGTTGAAATTTGTATTCTGTATTTTAGTAAGAAATATACCTTAAAGATCATATTGGCTTAAAAACTTTCTTACAATGTCATTCACAAATGAGACGACCAGAGAGTCATACCAAAATAAATTTTACGGCTCTTAAGTGATTAGGTTTGTTTAACAATTTTCTCCACATTCTAGTGCTCAGAACCAATAGGTCGGCAAAGTCGGCTTGGGGGTCAGGTATTTTGTGTATATGATTGTACTATATCGCAGGAGAGGGATTTAATGTTATTACTTTGTTATTTCAATGGCTACGCTTTCATTTTTGCACAGTAAGCATTAATGTGTATCGTCTACGGACTGATAAAAATAGATCCCCGTAAATCACACTAATTTGGTAGACACGACATTTACGCGGATTTGATGACTAAATTACCGAAATATAGACTCATAATCAAATGCCAGTTACGCGTAATTGCACTGTCCCCAACGATATAATAATAATAACGCACACACTCAACATAGCCCCGTACTAGGGAAGCCCTGTGTCGCGGGTGGGTGCCACGGATACATAGACAACCACAAATTACACCCAAACTCACGAGAGAAATAAAGGTAGGCTATATAAATATTTCTCCCGGCCCGGGAAGCGAACCTGGGACCTCTGCGTGGCAGTCCGGCATGGTAACTGTTCGGCCACAAAGGCAGTCAAATGTACAATATATATTAAAGTACAAGAGTAGAAAGAAATATATTAGGTACGTTCATGTACATTTACGTATTTTAGTCTGAAAGTTATATTTCAGTTTGTTGAAAGTATAATATTTATACAAGTTGTTTGTCGGTACATTGAATTTATGCAGCTATCCAGCATTTTACGTCTGACAATATTTTTACGCATTATATCTTAGTTCCCAAATTGATCCCTATCCCAGTGGGCGCTGAAGAGTCCCAATCAGCAATCGCAAGCAAACAAGAATTGTCTATATAAAAAACTACATTACAAATATGTATATTACATAATATATATTTTTTCTTTGTGTTTTTTTGTATTAAATTAATATAAAAAATACATGATTTCAATTATTTGTTGTGGTGGTGGGCGTTGGAATTTTTTTATTATGTCTAAGTCTGCGGTGAGACAAAAAGTTTATGAAACTATGCATTAAATCATAAAAGCAGTCAGTATCTGCTTGCGCAAACATTTAAATATTTTTATTTATTTATTTATTGCATAAAATTACACAGCATTACACATTGACTTACAATTATATGGACGTCGGGACCGCGCTAAAAAGGGTCC